AAGGTCTCTCCAGGTCAAATGTTCACCCATCAATTTTTATAGCAAGTATTGGTGTCAAATGAGGCAAACGATGCCTGTCAATCAACCAGTAATTATCTGTGCACAAACTCTATTTCTACCTGAAAACCGCCACTACTTGGCCTATTATTAGCGTGTAAATCACCTCACAAAATGTACATTGACCTCTAAACATATGTGCAATGACCTCAGGCCAACTGCATTGAACCTGCACATAAAACCACATGTTGTTCACCTATCAACAGACTTTTTTTAACCCAAAAGACAAAAAAACACCACCAAATCTAGAGAGATTATGTGCACATATGTCTGACCGTGAAACTGTCTTATTTTTAAATAATTAACAGGAATTTTATGTTTCCTTACAAAACAATCAGGACAGTTGATGTTCATGAACTTTGGTCATACAACATAGAAGAATTCATTAATATGAAGTAAAACTGTCTGGGTTTGCAAAGAACTTTTTAGTATTTTATTTTTCCATCAAAACAATGCTATGAAGCACAACACAGACTTGCCATAAGGAATTAATGCAAGTCTATACCAAAAGGTATAATAACATAAGTTATCAGAATGCGTCACAAACTAACTTTTACACAATTTAAGCCTTTTATGTCATCTATGAATGTGTAACTACTTTTTGACATTTGATATTATATATTGCACAGGAATACATTTTAAGACTTCTTTTGATTATCACATGATCTATTTTTGCCATTTTATGACAAGTCATATAAATGTAAAAAGGTCAGATGATGTTTGAAAACTTGGATGATGCTGTCATTATAATATTCCAACAAGAAAAAACTGCCATTAATATCATAGAACTATACATAAATGTACTACTTTTATTAAACATCTTTTCCGAGAATGGTTACTTTTCAAGATCAGCCTTGTTATTTTTCACCGATACTTATGACTACCATTTCTGGAAATTGGATACTTTGTGGAGGAAAAGTCAGAAAAAATCAATGAACAGTAAAGCAACAATATTCCTTAGCAGAAGAAGAAGAAACCGAAGAAACATGCAGTGGATCAAGATGAAAAAAGATAATAAGTAAAATTGAATTACGTTCTTTTCATCCCCTATTCACTATAGTGCTGTACTAACAGGGACAGTCAGACCCAGTACTATCGGAACTTTTAAATACATCTTTACTTGAACTATTTTATTTAAACACAACAAGAAGTATTGCACCCAACTTATATTGGCCTCGTTTACTTTATAATACCTTATAAATAAAATAAGCAAAAAATTTAAGTTATTTGAAAACATAACAACACCACTGTAGGGTATTTATCAAGAATGAATACATGTATAAATGGACATAACAACAATATTTTAAAAGATGAAAGGTTTTCTCATTTTACTTCGAAAAAACAACGTTTATATAAGTTTGAGAATAACAACAATATTGACAGAAACATGAGCTAGCATGCCATGTTAATCTCCAGCATGTCAGACACAGACCCTGTGATTTAGTACCTAGCATCACACACACACATATACACCTTTATATCATATCTCATTAATTGTGAAATAGTTGCCAAGATATTTATAGAATTCATGTAAATAATTTCTATACATTGTTGATACCAGATTATTCATTCCAGCAGACTCTATAAACAAAACGTTTACAACAAGCCATACACAATGACTACAGTTCCGGTCTACTATGTTCTGGTATAAATAGTCCAGGTGTTTATAAAAACTCATTCATTATCCTTCATCAGATTTTATCAATAGGAATTCTTTCTATGAGAAAATTTAAATACATAGATAAAACCTGACTGAATCAGAAATTAAAATCTCATTCTGTCAAGTGTTTTTTTGAAGAATTAGATCTTATAAAAAAAAGAAATGAAAAAAACCCAAAACAATTGTAACTAACAATTAACCAAATGGTTTTTATCTCACCAAAACATTATTGAGAAAAAGTAATAAAATAACATAAGAACTATCCTAATAACTTCAAGGATAAAATAACTCTCCCAGTGTGTGAACAAACAATTAGGACTCTCTTGCTTTCTGTAAACAATAAGGACCATTGCAATGTATTAATATGCTTTTCTGTAGAATAACATCAAAACAGAAAGATCAGAAATTAACAAGAGCTGTCATACTCCACTATCCTCTCAGTGCCTGATAGTAAAACAAGAGCCTGGATAATGTAGAATTTTCTAAGATCAAAAGGGCCATTATTCTGTCAAAATCCATGATCTAGTTATGGGCCTTGGAAGATGACCTAATATTATGCTCTCAAGTAAGTTACCTTCAACTCATTCCCGTCAGTAGTTTTGAAGATATCAACTTGCCCTCAAAAACTTAACGAAACTGTGAAGTTGACACCGACAACTGGATGAGTACAATAGCTTTCCCTTTTCTTCGAAATAACTGTCAGAGCTAAAAATGGACTTCATCTTGACACCTCTGATATATTCTTAAGTTTCTGAAATTTGTTGTTTTTATGCTGTGCATGAAATTTTTTTTAAACATATACCCCAGGCCTGAACTTATAGCATAATATAATTATGTAATTCAGTATCATGTAAATATCAATCATCTACAAATTGAGCATTATACTGCAATGGATCTCTTCCTGTTAAAACACCATTGTTGCATTTAGAATATGACAAATTTATGCCTCCCCAATCAGAATTTCTACAAAAACTACTACTACTACTACAGCAACAGAATTTCACCAAGTATGCCATGATGATACAAATCTACTACAGTTGATGAGTCAGCAGAAATTACCGCATATTTTGTTCACATAATTGTGGCAGACAACTATGAACGAAGAACATCCAAATTTCCTACAAAACAAATTTACTCATAGAGAAAGCCGTGCCAAATACCAGACAACATCTGTTATAAGACATGAAAATTTTACAGACAATCTAAAACTTCATATCAAAGGATATCATTCAAATTTTCAACACCTGCAGTAACATGTAATATTCATCTTTTTTCTTCTTAATATTTCAAGACAATAATTCTGCAGGTATATTATTATTCTTTATTTTGCTACAGTGATTTAGCGACATTGTGCGTGCGTGTATATATATATATATATACATCATACCCCAAAGTATTCATTCAATTACAACTTAACCCTTATTACTTCTCTGACAGTTTTCAATAAAAAAAAAATTAAAATAATATTTAAGTTTATTAATAGCCCAAGAATATACAAAGACATTAATATATATAAAGAAAACAATTTTGAACCATAAAATGCCTTGGTTTTTTTTTATTACTTTGAACTTAAGTAGTTCTTAGCTTCCAGAGTATGTGCAGTGTTATCAATCAATGATTTCAAACCACAGGTTAATTTCAAATAAAGATGTTAAGAGTTGCGGTTGACTGAATTCACTAGATCAGAAGAATTTATGAGAGAGGAAAGAAGTATCTTAAAAATGTTAAAAATACAGTCTACACCTGTGAGGTGAGATAGGGTTATACATATATTTTATCTGCCCAACATTTTATCAAGGTATTCATGGAAGCATATCTAACTGATCTATATAAAATGCTCAAACACAAGCTTGTTGTATACATGTTACAAGCTCATAGGGAGTGTAGACTCAAGTCTGAAACTGAAAAGGTTTCTTTACATACTCTTATATAGATTTTAAAACCATTACATTACTGTGAAATACTTTTAGAACACCCTGGTTCTGTTAAGACAAGAAAATAACAGTTAAAGGCCAAAAAATACAAGAGAGTTATTAACCCTAATCATTTTGTGATTGTTGAAGTTTTAAATTCAGTTCATTTGTATTTGCAATAAAAAATAAAATTCATGAGCTTAAGGTCAATGCCTTAATGAAACCAAATAGGACAGTGACCTAAACAATAAAATCTTACTCAGATTTGTTTCTTTTATAAACATGACAGCCTAAGAGTAAGACTGATAATTTTATGCTGTATTTCTTTGTGTCGAAATATATCAGGATTGTTCACAATTAAAATAGTGCAAGAAAAGGAAATGTCAAAATCAAATTTTCTGAATTTCAATATATGCCACATTAGTGTTTAAGAACTAGGCCAAAATTTCAAGAAGTCTACCAGTTATTTAAGGTTCTGTTTTAGTTCTCTATGAATAATTAATACAGCAAATTCTCCCTGGAACAGCTTAAATGAAAATATTTATAATACAAAAATAGAAGCGCAAGTTAAACCAAGTTCAGTATATACATTGCAAAACGGATAAGATAATTAATGGTTTATATTAAAATCTATTTCCAAGGAAACGAGATTATGTCCTCAAAAATATAATAATTATGTATATTTCTAAAACCAAGCAGATTATGGAATTGTATTGTCAAAAAAGAATTTTAGAAATCAAAGAATTTGACTTTCAAAGCAAAATTATATGCCAAGATATGCAACAAACCTTGGCAGAAGACAACAAAATTAGCAGTTCATATTGAATAATTTCAACGAAGTCTTGTAGTTATCATCAAATTTATGCTGTCTATGAAAGATTTTTTTCTTTTCGGATAAATAATTTATGGAACATATCTCACCAGGAGGTTTATGTTTATTAAAACCGGGCCAAACCCCTAGAAGTACCACAACTTCTATTCAAAGAAAGATAATTATAATCTTTTTTTATAAAAAAACTTTCTATTCATTTATTATCATTGTATGTTCAAGAATGAATTGAGGTGAAATTTTAGTGTGTTACATACAGTGAGTTACATACATCATGTAAGTACATGTATGACTTTTATATACATGTATACCAGTATGTTATTGATGAAATCCAGAAGTAATTCCAGTAGCATATGATAAATCAAATACTCATTATATGTTTGATTAATGTTTGATTTATGCAACACTTGATAAGTTAACTTGGCCTTTTGAATAAAATTATTACCTCCTGCTACCATTTCATATATGTACAATATGCACAGTACACGTTGTACAGTATGTTCAGAACAATATGTACAGTTTACTCTATAGGAAAGGATACACTTCTTGGAAGAAATCTATGTGTGGAGGTTGTAATATATCCAATGCTGACAAAACCTGAAATAGTGAAACATATATAAAATCAGTTTATTAATTTAATAAAAAAATCAACAATTTTCAATTTTTACATTTCAATATGCTTAAATTGTATAAAATGCAAATTGGGACAATTTATATAAAGACTAATTTTATATAAATCTTTTAACAACATTTTTTTCCCAATAAAGTCTGCTTTATGTCTTGAAACATTCTTCAAACCTATATAATTATTTCTTGATATAAAATGGGCTAACTTAAAAAACCCAGACTTTACAAAGTCAGACTATGGCTGTATATTGATTTAGCTCAAATTACAGTAAACATGAATATCAAATTACGAAATACTACAATTGTCAAAACTTGTTGTTTTCATAAAAGATTATAAAAAGAAAATAATAGCAAAGAAATTGTGTCCACATATATATAATGTAACACTTTAATATGTGTGTTTCCTCTCCCTTTCATTATTTACTATAGAAGTATCTAATTGAAAACCTATCCTAAAAACTTATCCTTATAATACTCATTTTAATTATTTAACTTAACAATCTTAAATCTTTCTACAAAACTCCATTAATTTAATATATCATGACAAACATTATAAAAGACAAAAGTTAAAAAAAAATGCTGTTCTTTCTTTATAAAATATATGTTATTCCTTCTAGATCTAGAATAAACTTAGCCCAATGTTTAAATATCAAAACAGGTCAATGATGAGTTTAAATAAATGAGGAGTAAAATACGGGTAGCAACAGTGTGACCTAGTTTTGTCATGTCATACAGCATACCTGTCATTTTACACATAACTGTGGCTATATAACATTGTATGACTAATAATCTTACACATTGTTAGTACTGGCAGGGAATGTTGGTATATATTGATTTTTATACTCCTGATACAACCATACAAAGAATGTTCCTATTCCCTATTAATTCAAAAAGCAATCAATGGAAAGAAATGCTCAGATGACAAATAAAACACCATTTTCAGTATTAACAACAGTGCAAAGTAACATTATAAATAATGTCTGCAGGCAAGTTTATTATTATGGCTGTTTATTACATTTTTACCCCCTTAAAAGTCTATATGATAGATGGCAAATGATGACTTTTAAGAGAATTGTAGCTGGTGGCTTTATGTTATTGAATAATTCCATCATGAAAATTTTAGACAACTGTGGAAAATGACCCAAATATGTTGCATAAATAATTTTTTTTTTTTATAAAGGTAACTGATTTTTCCCTAGTCATTTTTTATGCGTCCAGATTCTTAATATGATTTAAAGGCATTGACTTTATTTTACAAATACAATTTCTGATAATTTAACATTGTTAAACAACTGTGAAAAAATGTGTTTTGGGCTCTGTGAATGGGGCCATATTTTGACCACAAAACTGCATTAAAATAAAATGAAAGGAAAAATGCATTTTTTTGCAAACTTTCACTGATATGTATCACCTTTCTGGCAAATATTTTAGTTATCAAATAACTTTGCTTTGAAAGAAATTGAAAGCTTCTAATAAATGAATGTAAAAAGTAGGACCACATATTAAATGAGGCTAAAACACCAGAAACAGAATACCATCCTGGAACAAAAGTGCCTTAATTAACAAATTAAGGATAAACAAATGAACTTTAGACCTAACAATGTAATTGTTGTAAGTATTTTTGTTGTTTTTTCAGACAGTGACCTAATAAATCAACTGAAAGCTTCTGTCACAAATTTCACAATCAAATTCCCACAACAAAAACCGAAATAATATGACTATTTTCTTAAAAAATACAATGTAAAATAATCAGAACAACAAAAGAATAAATATTATTGTTGATATGGTGACAATATAAACTTCCTGTTTTACTTACAGACTACGACAGTCTGTCTGAATGACAAGTATATTTGTTAAAAATATAATTGAATTTTATATATACAATAACATAATGGACCTAATCTATCTGGTTTTATCAACTGTTTTTCCTAAATCCTATGTGTACAACTAATAATAAACTATAAAATATCAAGTCTGGTCCAACACAAAGGTGTATTGATTTTTAAACAACCCTAAATTTAGATACAAATAATGTGATTTGTCAACTGTTACCAGGTTAAAATGAGTAAATAAATATACAATATAGTTTATACCAAACAAATTGTAACAGCTTTAGTGTTGAGAGAATGACTTTAATTTTTCATTAATATTATTAGTTGGTAACATTTGTAAGATCTGTCCAACTAACCCAGTTACATCTCAAAATGAACAATTCAAATATAAAGCATTTAATAGAAAGAAATAACAGTGAAGTTTTTGCCCAGCTAAATTACATTGTAGATCTGTAACAGGTTAAGTGTCTGAATTTCAGTTTTATGACTGCTTTGAAACGAAATGTAAAATATTGAGCCAATTTACTATTATAAATCCCAGGGTTATGTTAAATTAAGTCAACCTTTTAATTTTTAAACAAGAACATTAATTTCAAACATCTGCTTCTTGTCCTCAAAACTTTGTTTGATTGCAGTTTTACCCGCAATATATGAATTAATATTTTACATCAACTTTAATGGTCGTATTTCAACATTCAAGTGTTTAACCGATTGGTCACGGAAAAACAAACAATCTATCCAAGACCCACGTCTCAGGACTGTGGTCCAATAAATTTCCAAATCATATCTAATTAGTAGTTAAGAAACACTTTCATCAAAAACTTGGTTGACTATGATACGTACATTGTCATGTTTAAATTGACAGAGCATTCGAAGTTCTCTGTACACTCTCTTACAAGAGACCATGTTTTGGAAGACACTGGGCATTTTCTTGAGGGCAACACGCTTTCCATCTCTTGGATCTGTTACTGACCTGAAAATACATGTGAAAAATGAAATTACATTGTAGTCAAGACAACGTTTAATTTCTTATTGATGCACATGATTACAATTTTTTGCTACAGGCTGGTCTGGCTCTATACTGCAGGAATAGATACAGGCTGAGGGTATACCTTTAAATTCCATTATCAGCGAAGTTATTTATTTAATTTAATTTTTCAATTAAAACAAAAAAAATCAACTAGTATCTTTCTGACATGTGTTTTTAATTTTTCAAGAAACAAATAATTAAAAATAAATTTCATCAAATCTTATTATTTTGCTCTTGTTCTTCTACACAAACAAAATTAGGGGTTATCTTAATATCTGGTCATTCCACTTATTTTGTAAAAGCTGTATTATATGGAGTTCTTCTCAGGGTACTGACCTATTCCAATCTCAGAAGGTTTGCTATCTTACAGCTAATTACTTTCTAAAGTTCAAAAAACAGCTATTAGCCATATAAGGCCTTATATTACCAGTAGATTATTATTATTTAGAGTGACATTGAGTAGGTTTTCTACACAGTATATGCATTTAAATGATTATGACATTTCAAGATTTTCCCTAAGCTATATATAACATATCAAGTATACATGGCAACATTATCATAACTTGTCCAGGAAAATTCATTTACTCACAAACATGTTGCTTATGAAATTAGTCAAAAGATATGTCATAAAACAACTGATCCCATTAACCTCTGGGAGTCATTCAGAAAGCCCTAACATATGAAAATATGTTATTTATAGCTTACATCTGTATAAAACAAAATCTTGTCATATGGAAACATAATAAAACCTAATTACTATGCTTAAAATGGACTTTTCCATCTTTCAGTCTGGATAAAACATATTAAAATACATACTAACTGAAAAGTGAACAGTCAGTGTGACAGTCAGCCATGAGTCCATGACTAGACATCACTGAATCCTTGACTTTGCCAAATGCAACCCTGAGTATATAATATTATAACCTTTTCAAGCAACTATTTTGATTATTCTTGATATTGCCAGACTGATTGGACCTACAGAAATATGAATATGGCTTGGTTCCTTTTATTACCAATGTAGATCAGTATACCGGTAGTTAGTCAGTCAGTCATTTATCAGCACTGCAAGCTCCCTTAAAAATCTTATTTGTACTTCTCACCTATGTACCAGTAAAAACTTATTTTCTTACTCCTCCTTAACAAAGAACATTATATAGGCCAAAGACCTTAAAATTCAGTTTCTTTGTAGCCCTCATGATTTCGGGTTAATTTGAGCATTATATTAAATATATTCATGTCATACAACTGAATTATTATCACAATTTTTGTTCTACATCAGTTATTAGTATTTTGTTTTTATTATGTTCCACTGATCCGACAAAAAATATTTCCTACACTGTATTGATTCAGCCCGTCATTCAGAGTCAACAGTAAATAGGTCATTGCACTATATCCAATGAAAAAAACTGACCTAGTTACATTATCTAATGATCCATTTTCCCTGAAAAATCTTATGAATATGATAAATCAAAGGTTCAGTGAACTTATTTCTTATATATATAACATTGCATTACCATGATAGATATTTTCATACAAACCGAGATGACCTATTGTAGCATCATTGTTTGAATTTTTTTTGAACTGTCTATGATAAACCATATTTTTTAATAATATATTTTCTAGAGTTTTGACACACTGTCCCCTATGGTGCTTTGTGTACAATTAGCTCTGTTTAAACACATCTGTCACAGTAGGGGTCAATGCTACTAAATGAAATACTCATATCATGCTAATGACCCCTGGCTAGTTTGTTTATTGTCAACAATTTTCTTTCATTTACATGTATGTAACTAAACATGTCAACAAAGTGACATGTTTCTAGTTGATTTTGTCTCATCATTTATGTTTGAAATCCAGTTTGAAGTCCATGGGTTTTAAGAATTTTATTTCTGAGAGTCTAATTAAAGTAAAAATGCTGACAAATGATAGAAATTAATTCATGCAGAATTTGGATTTTTAAAATAATTTTCAAAAAGCATCTATGATGAGACCAAGTTTATCATGATTTCTTTTGCAGTCTGTAATTGCAGCTGGAATAAGATAATGTACACAATTATACAATAACGATCATGATAGTAAATTTGCCTGTTGCAGATCTTTTTTTTACATGGTATGGATTTCTTAATTTTCGCCTCAACAGAAAAGGGTAAAAGCCCTGACAAAAAGCAATTTACAAGAATGTGTTCCATGTTAAATAGATTCTAGCTTCAATGTGAACATTCCACAAACCATTGTCTCACTATACAACCACTGTATAGTATTGATCATGCTTGCTCTGCACTCAATAATTAAATTCCTTTCTGCCACAATATCTGGTAAGACTGCCGCATTCCTTTCTTCCCTTTCCCTCAATTAAGTTAATAAACTATTTTCTTTTCTTTCTCTTACATTTTCTTCACCAATTAAGTCCATAAACTATTAATATAGTGGTTTACACAGCAAAAAAACAACATTTAGTGAGAAAGAGAGAAGGTAATATCTCACTGTTTAGGTACTTTATAATTGGCTCAGAGACACTCATCTGCCAATTTTTCTTGGAACACGAACATAAAAGGCAAGCATTTTGTCATTTTTTTTCCACTTTATAAAAATTAAACAAATGTCCTGTTATAAAAATGTTTTAAAGAAAGCTTTGAAAGCTTTTTTAAGCTTGTGGAATGAGGTTAGCACAACAGCTCTGGTAAAAAAATAAATTAATATCAATTCTTTCTGCACCAACCCCTACAATACATCCCCTCAATATTTTGTGTGATAAATCAGGGAAAGGCACAAGTGGAATTTAACACCTGAACTACTTGATGTTCTCTTGTTCAACCTAATTTTCAGAGAACATTATTATAAAGCACTTATGCCTATAGATGGTATGTCAGACCATTATGCGATTATCATCATATGCAAATTTATTTGTATTATTACAATAGTCACTCACTTGTATGTATAATTGATTATCAATACAAAACCATGAATACAAATACAAAACAAGTACATTTCTATAATGCTTTATGTATGCATGCATATTGGCATTCCTTTATTATTATTGCATTTTTTACAATTCAATTTCTTATAAAACATTATTAGACCTTAAAATATGTCTAAAGTTGTTGCAGGGTGGACAAAGACAAGGCAATGTTTTTTCCCCTAAGTATAATTTAAAGCTAAATAATTATATTAAAGGTTTTACCCCTTGCGTAAAAATGACATTTATCAGATTTTCACTTTTTTTCAGATTTATATTGGTTCATACTTCATAGTGGAGGAAGCCAGACTCCACTTTAAACAGGTGGAAGACATCATCTGTTGTGTTGATCCTTTACCTTCATAATTCATTTCAACCATCAATAAACAACTTCCTCACATTCGTAGGAAAAATTTCTTTCCACATTCACATAAAACAAAATCCCTGTCAACATGAAACTGATAGGCAAATTTAACCGGAATGCATGGCATACCATTGATACCGCAATGGGCAGATGATTAAAATTAGGTTATTATAACCGACAAGGCAAGTCACTAATACAAAAGACCATGATGGAGGTCCTTAGTAGCATGTATATGTATAATTTATTATATTTGGACCATAGTTCAAATAACAATTAGTGTACAAAATGTTTAAAATTCATGAAAATTATCTTTTAATATAGATAATACAAATATCATTCAATTACTCTACTGCAAAATACATTTTAAAGTTAATTTATAATATAAATGACTTCACCCAAAAACTACAGGAACATGTCTTGACAGAAGTCAGCTGTTCAGATAATGAACAAAGACTTGACCTAAAATTTATCAGTTCAGAATTAAAAATAATCTAAGAAACAAATAATTACTCATAGATTAATAACATTATGAAAATACATATACTTTCATACAAAAAGTATTAAGGAAAGGTGAAAACAAAGGAAAAACAACAATGACCCGTTATGGAAAAAAGGGAATTTACTTGTCGGGAGGGGTACTCACCAAACAACGCCGAATGCCCCGTAACCTATGGGTCTATCCGGTTGAATATCTTGTGGGGGCACGACCTGGTAATAAGGGACAGCTACTGCGGCAGTCAAGATAGCATGTGTCGAGGGAACTGGAGCCGGCGGACCTGAAAATGCCATCATTTGCCTAGCGTGCCTTTGGCCCACTATTGCCATTGGCATTGTCAACATTGACCTGGATAGGCCGTTAGAAAACCAGCTCGTACGCGATAACTATTCAAAAAGCATATCCAATTTATATAATGGCACGTTGAGCAAGGATTCACCAAGCTTTCTATTAATTATATCCTAAAATATTGAGCACAGAACATGTAGAATCTTCCTTCAAAAGTCACTAACTGAGTGCTCCACTGACTCACACGCGGCGAGACTAGCACACAAAGAAGTCACGTGACTACGCCTTGTACATATTCCCAAGATGCAACGTCACAAGGGTCAAAGGTTGCAAGGTGCGAGCTGATTGTTTACATTAGTAATTACAGGTGTGTACAGAGGCAAAAGGTGTGCTAATTGAACAGCATCTTTTAGAAAATATTTGTATAAATTCTTTTAGTTATTATGTGTCTGATAACAAAACTTTTAAAAATCATATACTTTAAATTTTATTAAATTCAGGAATAAAATTGCTGTAAATTATTAGATCTAAATCAAAAGCAATTTTTATTTTTTAAAATTTGTTACTCAGAATTCTGCAGTAAGAGTTTACCATGTGTTTGCTGTGTAACTTTCAATTTTGAAACTAAAGGCAACAAATTTTCAGATGATAATTTGAAGTAAAAAAGAACAACAACAACAAGAAAATAATTTAAAAAACAAACAAACACAGTGTTAAATGAATAATAATAAGTTTTTTTAAGCCTTGGAGCTTTGTTTCAGGTCATTGTATTGTTCTTTAACAGTTTTAGTCCTGCATACTCTTCATTGACCTGTGCCAGATAAAACATGCCCAGTCTCTATTTATTACCAAACTATGGATGACAGCCAATTAATTAGTCTTCTAATGACATGACTTGTACTAGTATCTGACTAATCAAACTAATGACTAAATTGAACCAAGAAATGTATCATTATCTATCAACTTTTATTTGGTTTCAGTCTCATTACTAAAAAAATTCCCAGATACTGAAAAATTTCAAATTTTTATCAAGGGGGGTAACAAAGGCAAATCTTTATTCTTACCATGCAGGAGTTACTGTTATTTACTAAAATAAGTACATGTACAACTTAATGCTGCTGAGATATAGTAACATTTTCATTCTGTTCCATTCTCATAACTATAGATGTGTAATCAAATGAATGAGAGTGGAAATATATAAACAAATACATCTGTTTATTTATAGGCCTAATTTCTTCTTTATTAAATATTGAACACAAATCTGGAGTCCGACAGAAGCTCTGTACCTTCAGACACAGTACTTATCAGTCAACACAAAATAAAAAATAATTAATGTTTCCAAAATACAGACTTAGATAAAGTTAATACTCAATGTCTTTAATCCTTATTACTACTACATATCTAAAATGAATGTGCCCATCTTTCAATCTGGACAACGTCATTCATCTTCTTTAGGGAAATTTTCACAAAAATTTACTGAATAGTGAACAGCGCAGACCATGATCAGATTGCAAGAATGTGCCTGTTAATCTTGTCTTGGTCCTGGTTGCTTGGATAGAAACTGTTGCTGGCATCAGGGTGAGGATTTAATTGATTAGAAGGCAAACAAAATCATTTTAGAAACATTCTTATCAAAATTTTTGATATCAAGGGATTGCTGTGAATGATTCCTATTTTCATCTTTCTTTTTTTGTCAACGGTCAAATATAGCCAAATTTATTAAAGGGATTGATAGAAGTACATTTATACAATATCTGAGCTATTTTAGTAGGTTTGCTTTTTTTTTCCTGTATACTATTTATATACAATTGTTTTGTTCTGATGTACATTATTTCTCAGACTTGTTTTGGATAGTTATATAAATGTAAATATACTTGTTTATTACATGCTTTTCGGTGGGTTATAGAAATATATCAGTGATATAAAACTGGTAATTTCACTGCTTGAAACAGTGAAATTATCACTTTGATAATTTCACTGTTTTGAATTTAAGCCCCTTACGTTGTTTCAGTGAAATACCAGCGTTCACAGAACTGGGTACCAACTTAATGACGTGACATCGTAAATGATGTCACGTTGTATTATTATTTGGCGCGCTTTTCATTCAGTATTAGGTTTTAATGTCTTTTTAAAACGTTTCTTTGCATATAATAAAAAGAAAATTTGTTTAGTTTAGTGTAAGATCGAAATATATTTCACCTTTTGAACACCAAAAGTTCATATTTCACTCGTGGCTGCGCCACTCTTGAAATATACCTTTTGGTGCTCACTTGGTGAAATATATTCCGATCTTACAACGAACTAAACAAATATCCTCTATGTAACATGTTAACAAGTTATTGATCAACAAGTCCGTTTTTGTTATGTAACATTCTTCCTGACCAGACAGAATGAGATAGTTATTGCAAGTGATAGATAACCTATTCTGTAGAACCTCTACTTTCATTTTCAAATATCTTTTTTTTTCTCCAAATATCAATCAGATAAACAGAACTTCTTTTTTCCTGCCATTATTTCAGCTTCAAATTATTACACATAGGCCAAGTCAAATTTAAATATTTCCAGTTTTGAGCCATGGTCTTAATACACATAGGCTACCAGTATGCCTCTAATGCCATGGTCAAATATCACCTATGTCGAAACTCTTACTCCATGGTCAAATTACACCTTTGCGATGCTTCTAATCCTATGGTCAAAGCACACAAAATTCGTCCATTTGGTCAAACTTGTTCACTGTTTAGCGTTACTTTCTGAATCTATGACAGAGGCAGGGTAATCACTTCCAATGAACTAAAAATACCTGTATAAATTGCACCAGTAAACACTTTGGCATTAATGAGATAAAACACAAATGCTGGCAAAATAACAAAGATTGAATATTACCTGTGATTATGCTCTTACCAAGCTAAATATCTGAAATGGACTTGGTCCTCCTGAAGTACATGTATGTACTAAACCAACCATACAACAGTTTTTTGGGTAAGTTTAAAATATTAACTGTCTGACTAGCAACCAGCGCAGACCAAGATCAACAGTACTAGCACACCTGTAGGTTAAATCTGTAGCCACCAGTAGGGCCAGAGTTGACAAATAAGAATATAATAATAACAGGGTGAGAGTTGAATTAAGAATATAACAATGTGATATATTGCTGTATTATTGTTTTATTTATTAAATATGATGATCAACAGCTACCTAAGCTGAGGTAAGTCTGAGTTATACAGGATTTACATACATTTTGCTTGTACACATTATTTTCACACATCCATTTCCACAGGTTCTAGAACGGAATAGTTTATTCTGAGAACAAGAAAAAATAATATCGTATTTCATTATCAGTTAACAATTGAAACAATATTCTATTAGCACTTTTGTTCCCTGTCTATGGCATTAAGAGTATTTCCTTTACTTTAATGGTGAAGGAAAAATACAGTACAGCTGAGAACAAATTGTACATAAAAAGCCACTTTTAACCCTCTAGAACAGAAAACTAGTGAATGTATGCCATCCAAAAATATATGGTGCTTGAAAAATTCAAAGCAAATTTTGTTTACTAAATTCATCCTCTTCAGACCACTTTACATATTTATGCATATTTTTGTGTCCTACACAGAAAATGTTATATATTGTAAATTATATCTTATTGTAATCACTTCAAATGGCAATATGTTGGAGCAAAAAAAATTTAATAAGTAACAATATGGAATAAATTAAAAGTAAAAGTGACCAGGTAAACCATCAAGCACGAAAGTTTACAGTATAATGTCTCATATGTTGTATTTTCTATTCTATCACCTGTGAAAATGACTGTCCAAAAATAATACATTAACAAACCAATTATTCAAGAACAATGAACAGAGCTTAACATATGACACAGTGCCACCTTTAAATGAGCCGCGTCACGACAAAACCAACATAGTGCGTTTGCAACCAGCATGGATCCAGACCAGTCTGCGCATTTGCGCAGTCTGATCAGGATCCATGCTGTTCGCTTATCTACCCTATTAAAAGTTGAGAAACTGAAAGCAAACAGCATGGATCCTGATCAGACTGCGCAGATGCATGCGGATCCATGCTGGTCAAAAGCCCACAATGTTGGTTTTCTTGTGATGCGGCTTAAATATAAAAGGGAGAAAAAAAGTCTAAATACTTTCATATGTATGTTCTGAAAACAGTGATATCAAATGGTTACAGAAGATATAAGATATTCAGATGACTAACAATGGTCTCAATTCTGTTAAACAACAATTGAAGTATGTGTGTACATGTAATTATACTGAACGCTTGGTAATTATTAACTTGTAATATCATACATGTAATAATGATTTATATAGAGTGAAAAAATAAAATGCATTATTCAAAAAGACTTGCGAATGATTTCAAAGAATGGATAAAATGCCAGCTACTGCATAACAGCATTTCAAAATACTAGTTAGCAAATGAAGTTTACAATAGCCAGTTAAAAATAGTACCTGAAAAGCTGAATTTCTTAGTGAATGAGCAAAGTTGATATTAAATTGTTAAGTAATCTAATTAATTTGAAAGTCCACACTTGCATATGCACATATTAAAATTTCAATCTCTCATTAATTAGTGAGTATGTAAGAATACATATCAATGATAATTATTATGGTATTAAAACACCATGGATATATAAGTGATCAACTATATGTAGGATCTATAATAAAGGAAACAATTTTACGTTCAATTTTGTCTTAAATTTCCCCTAAGAAACCAATAATTTGTAGTCATCTTATCTGAAAGAACTATTTTGAATAACAATAATATATATCATTTCTTTCAGCTTGTGAAATAATGGTTTTAATCAGGCAGATTTGATTGAATATCAAATAAATATGGCTATGGTAAAACAAATGGTTAAATAAAGAAAAGAATCATTTTTTACTTCTAAAATTCATTTCATTATTTCAGATTACTTTCTTTGCAACATATTACATTTAAAATGCTAATCAACAATCATCTTGTATACATAATATTTTAATGACAAAAAATCAAGTCATATATATTCTTTATTACTGAAACCATTATATAATATGCATCAGTTAATCCTATATATCCAAGGGAAAAATAACATATTTTAGTATTAACATTAAAACCATAGCGATACATATACAAGTTAATGAGTTGCTCATAACAACAAGCAAATAATTCCATTTCTCTTGACTTTTTTTTCTTCTTCTAATGTATACTGGCACAAAATTCATCAGGACATTGTGATCAAATGAAAATGAATCTGATTATAGTAATATATCCATAAATAGCTGGTGTCTATAACCATAACAGCCCGAGATAATTGATAGTACATAGCTATCAATATCTATATCTCTATACTAGAGGCTAATCGCTTACGGTTAAAATTTCGAATCAAAATAAGAATATGAAGGTAACAAGAATTGTTATTTTTACACCAACCATAAATGGATAAATCACCTTTTAAAAGAGCCAGAATATCAAGAACAGAAAGGGATGAAGAGAGAGATTCAATAACAAAAACGATGGATACATCATTGAGGAAATGATGATGATGATGAACAAACTTAAATGTGCATAGATGTGTTGAATCAACTTATAATAAATGGAATCAAAAGTTAAATATTAAACATTTCAACTGTCCCCATTTAAGAACATTAAACATACACTTCTCAATCAGTACAGTATGCCAGGGTTCCCTTTACATAGACTATAGCCATGCAACAGCAAAAGAGAGAGAACTTGAAGAAGAATTACTTTATCTCATGGACCTTATCTAATAGTAGAAAACTAGTATAGTTATAGTATAACTATAACTAAAGTAAAAGAAAATAACTTTTTTAAACTTTCTAAACAATCTTAAGTGAAAAAGAAATGCATTTTTTTAAAGCTGCATTTTGGGCATACATCATATCATAGTTTTATTGTTTGTTTCCCTACTATGTTTATGGCTTTAAATGGAGAAAATTGATACATTTTGTTATGTAATAACTATCAATCCCATTGTAAAATTTGGCAATAAAACGGAATACAATTCAATGTTATATAATCTCTACAAAATTTTCGCCATTTACAATTAATGTACATTTACAAGAGAGGGGAAAAGGAGTATATATATGTATGTGTAAATATATTAAAGATACAAACTGAGCTATTTAAAAAGCCTTCAAAGCCGCATATACTTAAAGTTGACTTTTAGACCAACCCCCCAATTGAAAAGGAAATTTTTTTATACTACAAAATATGCTGATAATTTTCTTACAGGTTTATATCACAGTCTTCATATTGTAACATATACAAATGCCTCACATTTCAAAGACAATGTTATACATATGCCTGGCATTTAGAGTAGAGTAAAAAAGCTTCTTTTTTTAACTGTTTGATCTTCTATCTAATGAGTTTTCTTCACAACAAGTCAATTGTTTTTGCAAATCAAGATTTCTGTAGCTCTGATTTTTTTTCCATAAAGCATGAACACCATGGCTTGAAATTTCAGCAGAGTATAAATTTAAAAATTCAAAGTGAAATCATTTTTTACTTCAATGACTATTTTAAATGCAATTTTTCATGGCAAGATGTATACAAATTTTAAGACCCTGGACAATTATTTTTTGCAATATCTATCAACAAAGAAAGCCTGTAGAAATTTCTGGCTATGTTGCAAAAGGAAACAAAAATATTAAAAATACAGTCGTTCCTTTTATCATCAGCATTTAAAAGCACTAACATACAATAAATAATAATAAGGTAGCACTTGCATAACATGTTGTATGAACTTGTATCATAATGTTCTGTGGTTTCTGCAATATGAGTCTTATTCACCTAGCTGGGTCACATCAGCGAAACTTTTGTCAAGGTCAGGCAATAGATGTTCCAATTTTTAAGTTAAGTGACAGACCTTTGTTCCCCTCAGTGGTAAATATATTCGGTACCCATTAATATCAATTGTGACCCAAATCTGAGAGATTGAAAACCTTTCTAAATAATATACAGAGTCAAGGATTGAAATCACTCAAAATTAACACATTATTAGATAAGGAGATTTTAACTTTTTATTCTTGCACTATGAAGAATATTACTGACTTTGACTTTTTTTCTTTTTTTTTACTAGCCAGATTTATTCAAATCTAAATTATAAATAATACTAACACCCTTAAACAGATTCATGCATTTTCAGGATATGGGTATATAAAGTCTGAATACATATTTCTTTTATTTTTACAGTGGTATTTTGTGTCAATATTTGCTATTATTACATGCAATATGATGTCAGTAAATGCTGTCTATTTGGAAGAATTACTAACATGTTCCTTATAACAATACTGAAATAATTCAAATGATAACAAGAGCATCATATGACAATGTTGCTATATGTGAAAACTGACTAAATTATTTCTATAGATTACAATTGGAGGAATCCATCATTACTTTCTTTCTAGTCTCTTTGGTTGACTACAGTGCCCCTAAATTGGTTTCATTTCTTATTTTACACAAACAAAATGTATGGGGCAAGGTCATATGGCAATGCTAACACATTAAAGGTTTAAGCAGAAAGCTTTACTTTCAATAAAATCGCTAGCTTTTTATAGTAGCATGATCTTTCACCATCTACCATCATACAACAGTATCTCCCCCCCACCCCCCCATTATGTTTAACATATATTTACATTAAAACACTTGCAACATACTCCGAAAATAACACAACAGATAATGACATCAGCAGGCATGTAGTAACAGCTTTTAATATATGTAACGCTACTTCACGTTAACAGGCCCTATCTACAAGTTAATGGCATAGCGGTATAATACAACTGAAAGACATACAATGGAATAAAGTTAAAAGTCATAGGTAATGCTCCTGGTCTTTACTCTTCTATTCATAGATACTCGAGTGTAAAATTTCTCAAGTTTTGATCTTCTGAAAGAAACAAGCATTTCTATAATCTAAGTAATCAAGTTATCATTTATACACAAGATGATCATTCACGGATTAAAATTTATCCAAGTTGTATAGGTTCGTTAAATGATAACATTCTGTTCACTAGGTTAAACAGAAAACATTCTTATATCATTGTTAGCATTACTCATAGTTTTAATAATAACTCAAGTCTTGGATAACCGTTCTTACATAAGATTTAAAGAAACATTTATTATTCATTTAAATGCATTAACATATCAAAATGAAAAATTTAACATTTTACTTTCTTTGTCCCAAATTAATAAATGTATGTGTCTTACCATAAATAGAAGAGCAAGGGACACAGTCTGTTGCTACAAAATTCAAAGCGGAAACCAGTCTAAAATATTCTCTCTTGTAATTGGTCAATACTGAGCACTTTCAAAAATTTAACCAATGACAAGAGATTTATTGTTAGACAGGTCTCAAAACTTCCAATTCTGTAACAAAAGAAATTTAGAATGTGTACACTGAGTAGCAAAGACGAAATGGAAAATATAACTCAACAAAAATAAGGTATAAAAATAGCTGCAACATAATAATGATTAAACATTCCTTATATAAAAGAAAAGAGTTAATTTATACATGAACTAGAGGGTAAGATAAATAATCAAATCTATACAGGTAGTCTGTAATGAACAAATTAAAACCTATCATCATCACACCTTTAAATCACTTCATCTTTATCAACAAAGAACGTAAGGAACAAAATCTCTCAAACAACCGGAATTAATGTATTGTTATTGCTTACAATCATTTATACTCACCGATATTAATTAATATTTATTATTGTTCTATATATAGTGTTAAATAGACGACGTGGATATATCACATTATTGTAGTCAAAGTATCGCATAGAATTTCATACGCTTCCTTCTCTAGTTAAGTTATACGTATAACAGCAGTTTCCCTTCAATTTCTGTTGGCTTCAACCTGAATGCTCGATTTCGCATATACCTGTTACCTTAATTAACGTCTGGAATATTAGTATATAACTTTCCTCATCAAAACTGCAAGAAATACTTTTTCCAGTTTCATACCTTAACTAAACACTTAGCACTTGTATCGTTGCAACTTTACCAGTTAGTTGTTACTAATATATAGAGCACTTATATAATATAGCTCAATATTTAAGAACAAACTTGGGCAAGCTGTTGGGGGAATTATTTCCAGAATTCTGTTCACTTACAATCTACTGCCCCTTCATGATAATACAGTATTTCAAGGGTCATATTCCTGCTTAATATTTTCTAAATTCAGCATACTTCTTTTAAAAGTGACAATGGTATGTTTATTTTTCCCACCAACAGACATGCTGACCGTTGTTTCAATTAGTATTTTCCGTTAAAACAAGTATAACCATGTTTCATTGTGAAACATATGCCTGTGAATTGCTGTGTTGTGACGTAAAGGAACTGTTACTACTGCTAGCAGTCAAGCTGATCATACTTCCACGAATACTCATATCATCATACTGATTGTCTCTCACTGAAGCTTGCGCTAACTCCATCGAGTTCATACCTAACTGAACAGTTTCATGATCAAATTCGTCCATTTCATGTGCCTGGCGCTCTTGGCAACGACGGATACGTTCCGCCTTCTCCTGCTCATATTTTGCGGATTCCTCCTCCATCTGAAAAAAAGTTTATGTATATTGATGAATGTCTACAAAACATAATGCTATGCTTGCAGGTAATGGAAGCTTTATAAAACTCTTGCAACAATTAAAAACTACAACATTCTCTTTGCTTCCTTTTCATATTATACATCCATCAAGTCAAACAAGAGCTGTCAGTGGGACAGAATGTTCCATTATTTTCAGTCCTTGATAGTAAAACAAGAGCCTGGAAAAAGTTAAATTTTCTAAGTTCAAAAAGGGCCATCATTCTGTAAAAATCCATGTTAAAGTTATGAGCCTTGGAAAGTGACCTCCTATTAAGCTCTCAAATAAGTGTGTGAAATTTCAACCCATTCCCTTCGATATTTTTGGTTTATTAAAACTTAACTAAAGAGCGACAGCGATGCCTTGAGGAGTATGATAGCTCTCCTTTTTCTTTGAATAGTCAAGCTAAAAATTAATGCTTTTACAGTTTCATTTTAACAGGGTCCAAAAATTTCTTTACTGAGACAAGATCATATATACAATGTAAAATATGTAACCATTCAGCTTCAACTTTACCTTTTGTTCTAATAATGCTCTTCTCAAAGAAACTCTCTCTTCAAGCTGCTTTCTCTCCCTCTGATGTTGGGCCTCTGTTTGCATTTTGATTTTACTTTGATATGCCATCAGTAACTCAAGTTCCTGCTGTAATTTTTGCTTCAGTTCATTCTCCTCTGCTAACTGAGAGTCATCAAGACGCATCTGACATATAAACACACATTGTGAAAATATTGTCTTAACATCTTTTAAAATATCTGATATGACAGCCGGAACTAATTAATAGAAATAGTTAAATCTTTTTTTGCTTCACTTCATAATAAATACATTTAAAAGTCATTTTTGGACAAATTATTTTTTACATTAATGCACTAATTACAGAAAGGCCTTTAGAAACTCAGCTTTAAGACCCAATCCTTTTTTTTCAACAGTTCATGCCTATACTGTGTACATTACTAATTGGTATTATTTGTATATACATGTACATTATATTGTAGCATTCCTATCTCCTATTTTTTTCTCTCAAGATATTGAAAATAGAGATGCCAACGTAATAGAACCACAACATCCTTGCAACAGTCTAAACAAACTACTTGTGTATGTTAAATATAGACACTGCAAAGGTCAAATTGTTTCTGGAACATTAACAAGTTGATGAAAAGTGAAGAATATATAGCTATTCTGAAAAAGAACTAGATATATCTTCAAAAATTGCTGCTGAGATATTAACAACATAGTATGAGGTAACATGAGTTATAACTTGTTGTATTTACATTTTGTTGTTGTAACATTTCAGCTATGCTCTGCTCATATTGTTCACCAAGAATTGCTAGTTTCCTCATTTGTTCTTCTTTTAATTTTTTCGCGACAGCTTTCACTTCATTTTTCGGAGTGTTTGCAATTATATGGTCCTTCAAAGCTTTGTATTGCTTCTGCTGCGTCTTAACTGCTTCGTGGAACTGGCGCCGTATTTGTAACTCCTTTTGCTGTTAAATAATGATACAGTATTATACATTACTTATAGTAAAAGGTAAAATATACATCTGTTTATATTGTTGTTTAAATGAATTGCATTAATTTTCAACAACATTTAAGTGAAATATTTTGTTGGCATACAAAAAGATTATACTGAACAGATCTCAAATCTGACAAACTTTTTTTTCAAAATATGTTTGTACTGAACACATGTATCTTATTTGGCATAAATTGTGTCTGGTTTTTTGGGGCTATTGTTTTGATGTTTGTTTTTACAAAATTGATAAATAATGTTATTTAGTGTATTTTAATTTTACTAACAATCAGCTAAAATGATATTTGGCATAAAGCATAATATCATTCAGGGAATATGTTATTTTGGTATGAACATCCTAACACTGAGGTAATACAAAGACTTACCAGCTTTACACAATTAAGATTGACAAAATATAAATTTTGATCAGTGAACTTAAACTGTCATTGTTTCTCACTTTGAAAGAATATTTGTAAATTTTATAGTTGTTTTAATTTAGAGGTATTGGAATCAATGTGGATCTATTTACACAAAAGAAGAGAATGTGTATATAACATACAAACTTACCCGTAAACTTCGAGGTTGTTGTTTCTGTTCAAGTGCGTGTTTCTTCCGCAGGTCTTGTTCTGCTTTAAGGTTATAATTCTGTTGATTTTGTCTTTCTGTATGATGCTGTTTCTTCAAATGATCGTCCCGAAGTTTTTGTAAGGACTCAAGTTGTTTAAATTCTAGTTCCCTCGTTGACTCGTGATGTCTAAGTAACATCTGATGTTCATAATCTAATTGCGCTTGGCGCTTATTCAATTCCTGTCAAAATAAAGTCAATGGTTTTGGTTTTGTAACTCTATAATATCCCTCTTAAATATTTCTTTTAATATGACATGACAGGATGGCGTTAATGGCATAATCATTTCTAGAAATTAATACAATATTATTCACATATTTCTCATTTTTTAATTGTACTCAATTCTATGACAACTTATCATGTACTTGAAATCCAACCTTTTTTTTACTGTTAACTGTATATTGTGTAAACAAAACATTGCTCGCATAAATTTAATTAAAGATCCTGTAATTCATTTTTTGTATGGATAAATATCATAAATACATGTATAATGCTTAAATGAAGATTTATCAATTTTGCAAGTTCCAAGATTTCCAGTTCCATTATTTGTATATATGTATCAACTGAGAAAGCTTAATAAAGCGAAACATGTTTTGATACTTAATTTGTGTTGGTTTTTGATCCAATTATCCTAAAGTTATTACTGAAATTTACATTTCATGTTAATAAAGGGAGGTAATAAGAAATTTATTTAGTAAAATTTTTTTAATAAGAAATGAATGCATTTATTTTTATGACTAAGTATAATGTGGACAAATATCTTTAGTACATATCTTACATATTCTTCAGAGTTTGAAAATTGTTTTAGAAGCATAATTATATACAAATATAAAATTTCACTTAAGTGTGGTTACAACCGTAAATACAACATACAGGATATGAGAACCTTATTCTAAATCACCAAAATAATTAGCTAATGCATCATAATAGTAAACTTTGTACATTACCTCCCTGAGTAGTTCTTGTTCTAACTGATGGTGTTGCAGATACCGTCTCCGACGGAATTTTCTAATTTCATATTCTAAACTTTGTTTTTGTTGACGATCTAATCTATCCTCTAACTCCTTCTGTCGTATTGTCATAGATTCTTTCTGATTTCGTATTGCATCATCACGTTCTTTCTTAGGTGTACTTGAATCTATATTCTGTGAGTAGATCAAGTAGGATATGGTTCTTTTAGACAGTATAAATGTGTAAATGTTAGAATGAGTGATTTGACTTCAACACTACTGATGTTGTCATATGTTGATAAGGTAGAGACTGTACACTATATTAAGACTTACTAGAAAAGCTTAATATGCCTGTGATGGTCATAAGTTACTAGATTTTCTTAATTTTTATTTTCTTGTAGAGGATAGATTCTGAATTGTTAATTTGAGACATTAAAACCCCGTTATATCGGGGTAAGAGACATTGGACCCCAGCTCAAGCATTATAATGAGAAGCCAGTGTTATTACTATAAAATATTGTTGAAATGATGATTCTTGTGAAAATTACAACAGATCGTAAATTCAGCTGTGTAAATTATGTTTAACTAAGTAAAATAAGTAATAGAAAGAGCATTGAAACACAAGGCTATCTGATTTGTACGAGGGGTGTAGCCCCCTGAGTATAAATCTGATTGCCAAGTATTTTGATGTTCTTTCTCTTTTGTATCATAGTCAAACATAAAACAGGTTCCCTGTTGTCACAATATGAAACCCTGGAGAAAAGTAACCAATGAACGAACATCTAAATATAATATTTCTATCGCTTTCACTTTCTCTGCCGTCACAATAAGTAAACCCCAGCAAAAATGAGCCAATCAATGGGCATGCTCTGGAGTGCGGGTAACTAATACCTGCACTCCAGTTAACGCACTGTGTATATTTATGTAATACAATTTAACTCTGACACATTTTCAACAGAAAGGTCTCCAAACTATGATACAATCAATATTATTATTTCACTCATATAAGAATAAAGCAACTTTCAGCTCTTTATTGAAATAAAATTGATTGCAAACTAAATGTATTACAGGAAAATGTTTATTGTTACCGAATCTTATTTTTTTATTTAATTTGCTTATTGCCTACAGCAGTATGTCCAGCAAACAAGTTTGCAATGGTTTAAATGCAATCAATATCACACTGGCAAAAGTTAATAATTTGATGGTGAACTTACCTTTTTCATTTGTTCTTTATTATGTTTATATTCTTTTTTCTGTTCTGAAGCAAAGCTTTTACGCTCTTTCTCTTGACTGGCCTGAATTTGTTTTGTCAACTTCTTCTCTTGGTCTTGGTTTATTTTTTGCTATAATAAACAACAAATCAAATAGACTCATATTTTCATTGCTTTTTTCAACTTCAAAGCATTATCAAATTTTCTACAGTAGTTGATTATTTAGGGAAATTACCAATACCTTCATAACTTATTTTACATAAACATTTTAGCTATGAATCTCAGAAATGTTAAAGCTAATAATTATTGAAGTTGAAAAGCTATAAACCACACTGAACTGTTAAAGTAAATAACATTTAATAATATTTGTTCTGTGTTGATGTTTCTTCATATAATGCCAGTATCATTAATATACATTACAAGTTTCACAATCAAGCTATAATCAATATGTTTAAACTAAGAAAACTTTACAGAATGGAATAAATCTTTTTTTTTTTAAATTTTACGTTTCTCCCCCAGTTATAAAGGAACGGCATAAATTTAAAAACCTACCCTTTTCTCCAGATCTTGTATCATTTTCCTCTTTAATTTTTCTAACTCCATGGTAAAACTCTGTCTAGTAGTCTCATATTCCTTGTCTAGTTTAACTTTGTGTTCTTCCATTTCTGCAGAATACTTTGTCTCCAACTGTAATTGTTGCAAAACATTATTTATCGCACACCCGTGCCAATTTTGCGACTTCGTAAATATGGTATTGCACGGCCATGCATATATGTTGACATGACGTCATTAGGGGTATACAAACATAGTGTAAAGACAAGCTTATAATGTTAGCATTATACTATAGGCACGTCAATGAAAAATGACTCTTATTTCACTTTTAACAGTCTTTATTTTGGGTATGTGATAAACAGAATATTAAATTTGTGTAAGTTCATTACTTAATTTATTGCACATGTTGAATAAAATAATATTATGCTCGCATAAAATAATTTTATTCAATGTGTGCAATAAATTCAGTATTGAACTTACACTCATTCAATATCCTCAATATCTTATATCAAAATTATATGCCTTTATTGTCAATCGAAAAATTTAATGCAGTTGATTGAAAATTTTTTTGTTTAATTCTCGATTTGTTAACTTCAAACCCAGTAATTACAAAAATACTCCATTCTGACATTTATTACAATTACAGATAAAGAATTTGATCAGGGAATATTGTACCCTTTGTCAATTAAACTTTACAGATGCATTTAATTTCTCTTCAGCTAGGTGGACTATTGATCATTTTTGCATAGTACAATCAAAATTAAAAACCAATTATGGCAAAATGTGAAGCTTTAATACTTTTACCTGTTCACTCATCATTTACACTTAGATAGCATAATGTCATAGATGTTTGATAAAAACAATTGAAAACAAACAAGACATGTTTCCAATCTTCTTACACTGATTTGTGATATATGAGGTGAAATGCCAATGTTACTTTTACATACATACATGATTATGATGATAATGATAATACGGACCTCAGTGCATTTTCACTATCACATTATCCTAAGACAATGTAGCTAAAATTTTTCGTCCTACCTGTTGTAACTGTTTTTGATGTTGTTTTCTCATTCGTTTATAACCAGCAAATTGTTCATTGAGTTCATTAGAATGTTCATGCTCCTGTATTTGTTTGGTCACTATATGCGTTGTTCGTATTGTTGCAAAGTTATTTTCCTGTATCTTTCCTAGCACCTGTAATCAATTAAAGATATTACATTTAGAGATATTAGTGTCATAAGATTTGTAATGCCCAAGTTTAAAGTTCAATACCTGTAACTACTAGGTGTATGTATAGAATATGTAAAAAGCTATAAAGACAAATACGATAAACTATAGTGTCATAAAATCATGCAAGATCAATGTCATAATGTAAATTTTACCTAAGGCTACATGGCATATAATTAATAACCAAATGTTTTTCTATAACTTCTAAACTTCTTATAATTATTATCATTCTATACGAAAATAAAAAAAACAAACTAGAACTTGGAATTCTACACATTCAAAATATAATACAGAACATTGACATATGAACAAACACATAAATAATTTTAGTATCGTACAATAATTGAATAACAATAAATAAAGTTCAACTTCCTTGTATCAGGATAAAATCACAAATTTTTGATCTAGGACCTCCATCTCAAAAGCAGTAAATCAATATAATAGCTAATTCTTTTCCTCAATTTTATGTTCACAGCTCATCGATAGATCTCATGTTTAAAAAATCAAATATAAACAAGCAATTATCATAGTATTGCAAGCAATCCATAAGTCCCCTACCGGTTAGAACCCCATCAACATTCTGAAGGGCCATTCACTAATTTTTCAATTTTTCTCTATCTTAAGTAAATTTGTTGGAAAAGTTCTTTAAAAGTGATCACAGGAAACAGTTTATATGAACAGACAGACGGACTGAAGGACACTCTAAAGTTAATATTTGAAACATCCCTGTTACCAAAAATATAACATTTTAAAAGCAAAATTCTTAAACAGGAAGATAACTCTTGAATTAAAGATGCAATTTCATAAAAATTTTCAGCTCTTTTTGACTAATCACAAATATTGTTTATTTTGCCATGTTTTATGCCTATTTGTTGCAAGGCAACTGATATTTTTTCAAAATAGGAAGAACAGATAAGACATGCATAATCTCAAGACTGCCATCTACCCATATGTCAAGTTTCATAAAAATATTTCCAGTACTTTTTGAGTTATCACTGGATTCAGTTTATGTGTAAAATTTGCCATATTTTCAGTCTATGTGTTGCCATAGCAACCAGAATTTTCAACATAGGAAGAAAAGAAAAAGACGTGCATAATCTCAAGACTGCCATCTACTCATATGTCAAGTTTCATAAAAATATTTCAAGTACTTTTTGCTTTATCACTGGATCCAGTTTATGTGTAAAATTTGCCATATTTTCAGTCTATGTGTTGCCATAGCAACCAGAATTTTCAACATAGGAAGAAAAGAAAAAGACGTGCATAATCTCAAGACTGCCATCTACCCATATGTCAAGTTTTCATAAAAATATTTCCAGTACTTTTTGCGTTATCACTGGATCCAGTTTATGTGTAAAATTTGCCATATTTTCAGCCTATTTGTTGCCATAGCAACCAGAATTTTCAACATAGGAAGAAAGAAAAAGACGTGCATAATCTCCATACTGCCATCTATCCATATACCAAGTTTCATAAAAATATTTTCAGTACTTTTCAAGTTATCGCGGGATCCAGTTTTGTGGACGGACGGACTGACGGACTGACAGACGGACGGACAGACGGACGGACGGACAGACGGACGGAGGGTAAACCTAAAGTCCCCTCCGGTAAACCGGTAGGGGACTAAAAAGTTTATTCTAAAACACACTAAGCTTAAATGAACAATGTTTTGGTTTGCTATTGCTTTTGCCAGTGACCTTTCACCTGAAAATTGGTACAAAATGTAAAACTGATCTAGGTGCTCTCACATATTAAATTTCAATGTTACATTATAGGATAATTGGATCAAAAACCAACACAAATTAAGTATCAAAACATGTTTCGCTTTATTAAGCTTCCTCAGTTGATACATATACAAAAATGATTGTAATGATTACATTATGTAAGTATTGAATTGAATGTCATAAACGAAAACTTTACCAGATTGGTTAGCTGTAACGATTTAACCAATGCCATGACCAACACAGCTGTCATAGCGACATGGGTCATGACAATAGCTCCGCCTTTTCTTCGAAAAAGTGGCGCTAAAGTGAATATGTTTTGGTGTGGCATTCATACAATTGTGCATTAGAGAAATGTTAAACTATATATTTATATCATATCATACCAAAACTAGTGATTAATATATATGTCACAATATATATACATGCATGATATTAGTCACTTAAAATACATAATTGTATAAAACATGTTTATATCTAATATAGTTAACCAACACATAACAACAAGTACTAATTGTATCATTCAATCAAGTACTGACTACTTTGAATTTAAATATTAACTGGATGCAGTGCATGCACTTCATTTCACTTCCATTTTAAGATTTATATGTAGTTATACTAGAAAAGCAAAGAATTGATGCAATGTAACAATATCACAGAAAAAGTAAGCTAGTAACACACTGTGCATATAATTTTCATGTCTTAGTTCACTTATGACTAGTGTTTAATGAATATACATGTAGAAAATCTGTAGTCTAGATCCAAGCTGATGACTTACTTAATATAATTTAAGAATTCATTGCTTTGTTTTTCCTTTAAAGATAGTCAATGAAAAATGAAACAAAATGGGTTGGAAGAACAAAATGTTCTATTCTAAAATCTGTACATAACAATGAACTTATAGTGAAATTTACTGTATTCTTAACTTACATTATCTTGAAAATTGGGTTCATTTTGCAAACATTTTGTGAAGTCAAAATAAAACTTTCATCCTAAGGTGAAACTCCAGCAGGAAAAAAAATATTGATAGTTTTATTCTTGAAAGAGAAGGAGTTTCATCTCAAAAGTGTAACACATACATTTCACAACTTTTTAAAAGGTAATGGGTAAGTAATGACAATTTGTAAGCTGACAATACAGTCTCCAAAAACTAACAAACTGAAAATGTACCAAGTTCAAATATGTAACAACATTCAGAATAGGAGATAATGCCTCTTAGCCAGGGGTCATGGGTTCAAGCGCTATTTAAGTCATGACAATGGTGCCGTACTGGTTAGTTGCAAGAAGCTGACTATGGCATGCTCCTGATATGCTTGAAGCTTTCTTCAAATATTATAATGTTCAATACTATAACAACATTGACACTAACTTTCCATTACTTGTCCATTACCTTCAAGACAATATTTCATGCTTACTAAATTAAAAGATTACAGATTACATTATCAAGAATACCTGCACCAAGAAACATAACAGATCATCATACAGAAGTGAAGATGTACATTATAAAGTTTGGTATATAGAAATATTCCTGTTTAGAAGGTAACATACACTATCAACAGCTTGTTTCAATTTTTACCATTGCCGTCACTTTCCATATCGTTTTTTTTTTTTTTGGAATGGCAATTTACTTGAAAACATATATATAAATTTGTTAACAGAGCTCTCCATAAATTTGAAAGTGGTTATGTGGAAATTTGAAAATACCCCATCAGTAAAGCACTCCTGATTGATTTATAGCATTTTCATTTATCATAGGTTTGGCAAAAGTAGCCAGTAATAACAGCAACTTTGCTTGTCACTTGGGCTTGTAGAAAGCATTGTATAATAACATCTACTGTTGCTCCTGCTTGTATGCATACTTTGATCATCTTCAACAGACATGGAAAGTGGGGTACAAACTTCGGCCAATATTTTTACGAGCTTTTGATGATAGTCTTATTTGATATTGTACAAGGTATTTTCTTACTTAAAGAATAGAAAATAGTGAATATAAGGTATTTTCTTACATAAAGAATAGAATATAGTGAATATAACATATTTTGTACAACTATGAAAAGAAGTGAACTTAACTGTAGGAGCCAGGTTTTTGCTTCGATACTACATAGTATCTGTATCATTATTACAAAGAGATGTATAGATAAATATACTGAAGAATTTATAAAGTGCAAAATATAGCATGCAAATGTCAATCAAAATACCTAGAATTTATTTGTGTGGACATTATGTATATTACAGTATAGTTGTAGTTGGTCAAATTGATAAATACTGCTTAGTCATCCTGGAAAGCCAGTTAAGTGGACTGATCGCGGAGATATGATAAAAATATGTGTTTAAATTAGGGCTGGGAACGAATAAGGAATTTGATGTTCGAATATTCGTTTTCCATATTCGAATATATTCGAATATTCGTTTTTACAACATTTGTTCCAATATTTCTCTTTGACGTATACGTATCCGAAATTGATTGCGTCGAATACTGTACAATTTTAATATGTTTGGAATAATCGACGATTAAAAATACCTATATAACTACGTTAAAGTTTTTTATTTTATATATTGTAAATCGACATAAATGTTTACTTTTGAAATAAATTCATAATTTGATTGCCTTTTGTTCAGTTAATCTGACTGCTGATCATTGGTCTTCATGGTCTAATTAACGGTAGGTAACTCACGTGACTTGATTGACAGTAATATGAATCACCGTAGCTTCTTAGCCCCCAAAACACATAATTTACATTGAAACTTAACTTGAATTAAATATATTATTTATTTATAATTTAAGATAAGGTTTAAACATTCATCAGATACGTTTAGCTATAACGCAGTAAATATCACACGGAGTCTTAATTCTACGGAATAAATATATTTTGACGGAATATAGACACTGACACTGCTTACATAAAGCACCGATTAATACGTGTCGATTTTATCGTCTTCACAAACTTTAAGACAATTACTGATTAATTGGACAGATTATTGCACAGAAAACAATAAATAAGATATTTACATTATATTCTGTTCAACAGGTAAATTGCAAACTGTGACCGGGCTCCCTTTTGATCAACTGTAGACCCCAAAGTTTTCACAGTTAATTGGCGATAATCGTTGACACGTGTCATACAAACGTGTGAACAACTGGTCAAGTAAAGATCAATGGTTTAATTTGCTATCTTAATTGAAATTTGAAAGTAATTACAAAAAAAAAACATTTCTTTTTTTCGAA